GTTTTAAGAGGTAGTATAAATCATTTATTATCATAGCAACAGTGTTTGACAACTGAGAGGAAGTTTGGATTATCCATATAAATTTTTAAATCTCATGGGTGTTTAAATCCATTTAAATCTTGGCCATCTGTTGAGCTATAGAGTTGATTATTAGCTTGTCATGTGAATAAATGTCTCAATAATAATTTATATAACATTTGAAGGCAGCAAAAAAACGTGCGATAGACATAGATTTAGCTCTTGCATAATTATATTTAAAGGCACAGCAATATCTCGATTGTTGTTATATACATGTATGAACTATTTCCATGTATAGACTGCACCATATCTTAGTATTAAAAAACATTCATGAAGAATTAATCGGTTTGTACCCCCCAAAATATTACCATATTTGTGAAAGAAAGAAATGCATACTTAAAATGGGCATTACACAATGGGTTTCTCTGGGTTATATTCCTGGGCCCTGTTTCACGAAATTTTAACTGAAGATAAAATCCAAATTTTAGTAGATAGTTCAGTTTTGATTGGCTAAGCACTAAAATCAATCTAATATTATCCAATCAAATTACTAAAATTTGGATTTTATCTTAGTTAAAATTTCGTGAAACAGGCCCCAGATTGTTTTCAAATTGGAGTAAAGTCTGCATCACTACAGAAATTTTGGATTTTATGTTGCTTTAATCAAAAGTTTAACCTTTTCCACTCTATTGTATGTTGGAGTGTATGGTGGGGTGTTGATGTTACTGTAAGTTCACCTTTAGGTCATCTTGTTATGTGACATAACAACTGTATGTCAGTGTTATTGTGTATGTAATGGGATATATCTAATGGGCTATAACAAATGTAATAGGCTATAATGATGAATGTAATGGGCATATTAGAATAGAACCTTATTATAACATTGACAAGCTGTAGCTGCCTTTCTCTTGTTTTCACGTAGGTAAGTATTCTCTGTCTATTTAGATATTATATTGGTAAGTGAAAGATAACCACACGACATGCAAAACAAAATGAAATGAAATGGGGTTTAAGGTCCTACTGTTTTGCTTTGACTGTGCTATGATTAAAATTTTGCCTGGGCCACGGCACTATAACCTACTCTTATATCAGATTCCAACTGCCAAGCGATCTTTTACGTACACACTGATACTGGACCTCAGTTTTTCGACCCATCCAAACGACTAGACAGCTACCCTTGTCAGGGCCTCTGTCCTGCACCACTGACAAGGGGGAAACCACATCGGAAAATCCCGTTGAACTTTCTCGGTCAATGTAGGGATTGAACACTTAGCCACAGTGGCTCCTACATGTAAATCAAAATTGATAAGACAAACCTATGGACAAGACAAACTACACAGACATTGCAGGAAATAAACAATATCAGTTCACATGAATGTATACGGGGGCCAGCCATAACCTTCCACTGTGCCATATATGTGACTGTTTAGACTATAGCCCCGTTTACACTTGACCATGGGGGATTGGATGGCCGAATCGTTAGCACGTGCGTGCTGTATACTATAGTACTTCCTGTCAATGAGTCAACTTGCGAGGTTTCGAATCCCCGGTTGTACGTGACAAGGAGTATTGTCGCCTGTCCAACCTCGTGGGTTTTCTCCGGGTCCTCCGGTTTCCTCCCACTGGTAAAGACCCCTACGCGCAAGCGAATTATTGAAATAAAATTAAACCATATGTTAGTCCTGAAATGACCTACTTTGTGTCGAGTGGACGTTAAACCCCATTTCTCTCTCACTCTCTACACTTGACCATGATAAGTGTTCCGTTCTTGGCACGGTACCAGGCCGTGATAAATATCAAGAAATTGACCTGTTTACATTTCTTTACAATAACTGGTCTCGGAACCGCGCCGGGCACGCCAAATGAGGGACTCTTGACAGAAAAGTTAATTTCAGTCACGATGCATATTACCCCGATGAAAACAATTTTGGCGGTTGATTTAGTTTGGGCTGAATGGTTAGCACGTGCGCGCTGTATCATAAAGTCTGTCATTGAGTCAACTGGCATGGTTTCAATTCCCTGGTTGTACGTGACAAGGAGTAGGGTCGCCTGTCCAACCTTGCGGATTTTCTCTTGAGTCCTCCGGTTTCCTCCCACTGCTAAAGACCCCTACGCGCAAGCGAATTATTGAAATAAAATTGAGCCGTGTGTTAGCCCCGAAATAACCTAGTTTGTGTCGAGTGGGTGTTAAACCCCATTTCTCTCTCTGTCTGTCTTTCTAAAATACCGCCCTTATAGTTGAAGGCTATGGCACAGCTGTTGGAAATTTTATGAAGCAATTTGAGTTATGGTTGTCACTTGGTTGTAACATGATATAATACTCCAACAAAACTCTGTAAATATGTATAAAACATAATTAGAATTCATATCTACAAATTTGGGAGGGAGGGATGTGGTCGAATGGTTACTGCATGGTTTTGATTCCCCGTAATAAGGAGTAGGGTCATCTGGGTTTTCTCTGTGTCCTCTGGTTTCCTCCCACTGCTAAAGACCCCTACGTGCAAGTGAATTAATGAAATAAAATTGAACCATATGTTAGTCCCAAAATGACCCAGTTTGTGTCAAGTAGAGGTTATACTCTCTCTCACTAGTTATTTCTATAAACATGCCAGTATTTGAAGAGCTTGAGTCAGTTATATTTTGACGTATTGATGTACCGTTATGTTGTCAAGATGAACTGTGGTTTGACTGTGGTGTTCAACCGTGACTATTGTTTTTATATGAAACCTTGTATTTTTCTGCCATATTGTGGTGTGTAGTTTGATCAGTGCATTACTTTCTGTCACTGTTGTTTTTGTGTGATGTGAGATTAGCCTTTTGGTTATCATACATATCGTTTAAAATCTTTTGTGTACGTTATTCTTTCAGTGATCGTTCTCTTGTTGTTTGTGTACTTTATTGTTTCAATGATCGTTCTCTGTTTGTTTTCTTGTCCATCACCTGTTTTTTAAAACATACAAAAAAAAAATATGAACTCTAATGATGAATGACAAACAGGATTGGATCGCCCTCCCACTTTTATTTCTTCAGATCTCTTAAATAACCTGACATTATTCAATTTGAAATGTTGATTGATAATTTTGTTTTTAGTCATAATTTCATTTTAGTCATAATTTCATTTTAAGTCATAATGTCATTTGATTTTAAGTCATAATTTCATTTTAAGTCATAATTTCTTTTTATTTTCATTTTATTTTACATCTTAATTTCATTTTAAGTCAAAATTTCATTTTATTTTAAGTCATAATGTCATTTTATTTTAAGTCATAATTTCATTTCAAGTCATAATTTCATTTTAAGTCACAATTTCATTTTAAGTCACAAGTTCATTTTAAATCACAATTTCATTTTATTTTAAGTTATAATTTCATTTTATTTTAAGTCATAATTTCATTTTAAGTCATAATTCTTAAGCTATGGAATAAACGATGAACATTTGTCATGTAGTTTTTGGCTTCTTATTATGTGCTAAAAATAGTATCACTTTTCTGTGAGAAAAATGACCGGTTTGGAAAATTTTGAAGTGGAAGCCCTGATATGTACTCATCGATCAAGCATGAAATATTATATTGGTTTGCACTGATCAACCATGAAATAAAATGATTAGCCATGAGTTTATTAATTGAATTAAAAGGAAATGGATCAATCTATTTCTATATTATAACAATATATTATATAGGTAATAATAAGATCTACTAGAATCAATCTATTTCTATATTATAACAATATATAACAATATATTATATAGGTAGGTAATAATAAGACCACGTAGAATCAATCTGTTTCTGTGTTCTAACAATATATTACAATAGGTAGGTATTAGTAGGTAATAATGAGACCGACTAGAATCAATCTATTTCCTTGTTTCTAACCTTATCCTTATTGTGTGTGTGAGTTAGTTGTATTTTACATCCGCTTCCACCGAGGTGATATCACATTGAGAACCATTAGAATTTATATCTAGCATGTATAACTTTGCTGCTGGTGGGATTAGCAGGTCTGACAAGTCTGCATCAATGTTTGTAGTTGTAACACTTTGGTAATGAAGAATAATTTCCAAAATTAGATCAAATTATTAATCCTCAATTAATTGTTGGTAATAAAAATTGATTTGATATGAGAAAAGTTTATCATATTTAATCATTCTTTTATTATAATTAAAATTGATTTGATCAGTCGAGTTTATCATATTGTAATTAAAATAGATTTGATCAGTAAAGTTTATCATATTGTAATTGAAATTGATTTGATCAGTCGAGTCAGTCAAGTTTTAATCATACTTTATTGTAATAACAGAATGAAACATAACCCTATATTTTGGAGGGGGTGAGTGGGGTTCCCATTTACTTCAATGCACCTGGCCCCATGCCTTTTAATCATACTTCTTTGTTTTGGAGGGGTTTGGGTGGGGTTCCCATTTACTGTTGATATGAGAAGAGTTTATCACATGTTATTGTAATTTACATTGATTTGATATCATCCATGTATAAATCATACTTATATTATAATAATTACAAAATGGGGGGGGGGGGGGTCGCCGAATGGTTAACAAATGTGTCTTCGATCATAAGGTCTTGCATTGAGTCCGGTGCTGTGGTTTTAAGCTCCTGCTTGTTTAACAAGAAGGAGGGTCACTTGTCCAACCTTGTGTTTTTTCTCTTGTTTCCTCCCACTGCTAAGGACCCCTAAGCGCCAGTGATTTATTGATGTGAAACTGATTCATATGTTAGTCCCAAAATGACCTAGTTTGTGTCGAGTGGACATTAAACCCCATCTCTCTCTCTACCCTCTCTCTCTCTCTCTCTCTCTCTCTCTCTCTCTCTCTTGTCATTACGGAATTAATACCTAAACAATCAAGTGTATGTGAAATTTGATCATATTGTAATCATAGTTTTATTTTAATTACAGAACTAATACCCAAACAATCGAGTTTATGTGAAGAATTGATCATGTTGTAATCTCTCCTTTTATTTTAATTACAGAATTAATACCTAAACAGTCAAGTGTATGTGATGATCCTCCTCTCTATCTCTGTTTACGTGTCGGACAACCTAAATATAAACAAGTCTCACAAACATGTCCGATAGAAAGTTACCGTGGTAACAAGAAAAAGCCTGAATATTGGTTCTCTATACCCAGAGAAAAGTAAGAGTTTTTTTTTCTCCTGTAGTTGATAGATAATAATATTAAACATATGACCTTGACCTAATCTGCAGGAGGCCTTAAGATTAAGCTCCAACCTTTGTGTCATCGCTGTCATGTTGTAAATAAGACGCTAATTTCTTCGACAATCTAAAGTTCTCTTAACGTGGCGTCGTTTTCTCCGACAATATAAATCCATGTTTTCTATTAAACATACATTATGCAAGAGCAGTGGAACAGTGGAACGCTTGCTTTCAACAACAACGTAAAACAGATATTTAGTAAAATACAGAATATAAAATGATTTTAATTTTTTTCAGAGTGGATCAATTGTACGCTTTCTTCGTTCAGTGGACACCAGATATCTATGGTGACGACGACGATATGGATCCCGAACAGCGAGGTTTCGTTGTTTTTGATGAAGATGATTTAGAGAGTGTGGAGAATCTAGAATTCGTTGACAAACATTTTGACAGTGTTCAGAAGATACGTAAAGATTGGGAGGTAAATAAATTATTATGGTTCTATACTGTAGTACTATCGGACTTATTTTCTTGTTGTGTTTGTTTCTTCGTGATCGTAATAACACTACAGAATCAATGGGTTTACAACTTTATGGTAAGCTGTAATGTCTTTGAAGGTTCCTTGTTCTAAATAATAATGGCTGCTTGGAATACCTGAATGAGCTCTGATCCATCTTGCTCTACACCCTAATTTATACCCCCTAATTTCTGCCTTGACGTTAATTTCCATCCCAAATATGGAATAAACCTCTTTATTTCACACGACTAAGAGAGGAGACTTTACCTTATTTGGTCTACCAACCATAGGTCAATTAACAGACAGAATTTGATGGATATCTTGACAATGGTTATGATTTAACAAAATATCACTGTTTTTTTATGTATAACTATATATTCACGTTCATTAAGTACGTGTGATTTGACTCTATAGATAGAGTGAAGCAACAATTTTTCAAAGAACCAAAATTGTCTTAAAGTTACAATTTCATATTTTCTAAGAAAGTCAAAACATAATTATTTCTATGTCTTTTGCTCAGTAGGTTGTCAACTCACTATTATACGATCATAGATTATCTTTCTCACACTTAAAAATCTTCACACCGGAAATTATAACACAATTGCCTCCCAATTACCTCCCTTGTTTCCTATTCCCCACCATGGAATGGCTATCTTCAAACGTTCGAATTTGAAGTTAAAAATGATATTTTTGCCAATTTCTCAATTGGCAATAGTGAATTATAGGATTAATAGGATTATTCTTTAACAAGGTAGGACTGTTTATAGATACCATCTATTTTAAGGCTTTATTTTAATACATTTTAAAGATATAACTTAAAAATATGAAATTGTAACTTCAAGGACCAAAGTATTACATGTACATCATTTCCTAGTTGATTTGTGTCAAAAATAAAATGGTTAAACTGATTACATTTTATTTGTTGATTTGTTTTATGAGAATGAACACAGTTGTTATGTTACCGGCGTTTTGGTTTGAAGTGAGAGATTAGCCAATGAAATGGTCTGTTACAGAGAGTTCTTGGTACGAAATAGGCAGATTTAGCTCTTACATAATGTATGTTTAAAGGAGCTAAATCGCTTTGGGACCTAGAAATTGACCCAAATGGGTCGCAACGCATATAATAATGTAATCTGATTGTATATAAACTGATTTACATTCAATTGTTTCCGTTTTGACTCAATTTCAAATCAGTTATGTCCAGCGAAATACGGCATGAATCTCAACCGAATGCTAATTTCTAGCGTCTGGTTATTCCAGTCTATTCCAGCATGCTTTCCAGATAAGATATGGCATCACCGTTTGACATGAGTTGTTGAATATGTCTAGCCTTGTTCTTTCTGGTCACTTGTTACAAATGATGCTGAAAATGATGGTAAAATGTTTATTTTGTCTTAAATATTGGATATCAGAAGCCTACCTTTTCCTGGTAAGATCACAACATCAATGTTGATTTGAATTGACAAATAATTTGTGTTTTCAATGTGTAAGACTTTGGATGATATTGAGTTAGAGACTTAGCTACTTTAATTGAAGTATTTTATATTGTGTAGATCATCAGTAAAGTGGAGGCCATCAGACGTATGTCAAGTTTGGATATAGAAGAAAGTTTCCCATTACCAGAATTAATCGGTGACACGACCATTTTATCTAGTGAAGAACATATAAGACAGGTTAGTAATCTACCATAGACAATGAAATGGGATTTAACGTCCTACTGTTCTGCTCTTATACTGGGCTAATGAAATGAAATGGGGGTTTAACGTCCTACTGTTCTCCTCCTATACTGGGCATACGCCATACAGTATGCTATGAGGGAAATTTTGCCCTAACAACGGCACTACAGCCTATTCTTATATCTAATTCCAACTGTCAAGGGATCTTTTACGTGCATCTAGTGACTTAGAATATTGAATAACATGTAATAAATTAGAATGTTGAATAACATATGAATAATGACTTAGAATATTGAATAACATGTAATTACTTAGAATATTGAATAACGTATAATGACTTAGAATATCGAATAACATTTATTGACTTAACACATGAATAATGACTTAGAATATTGAATCACATATGAATAATGACTTGGAATATTGAATAACATATAATAACATATGAATAATGACTTGGAATATTGAATAACATATAATAACATATGAATAATGACTTGGAATATTGAATAACATGAATAGTGTATGAATATTGACTTAGAATATTGAATAACATATGAATAATAACTTACAATATTTGAAGTAAAACCAGCCTTCCTATTATTTCTTTCAGTTATCCAATGCTTTACCACCGAGAACTATTGGTTATCCCTGGACGCTGGTTTACAGTTCTGAGGTTCATGGCTTCAGTTTAAAAACACTATACAGAAACATGCAGGGACTGGATAGTCCGGTCTTACTGGTTGTCGAAGACACTACTGGACACGTAAGTTTTAAAATCAATTAGATTACCTGTTTTTTTGGGCATTTGTCTTATTATATATTATATTGGGGGGTGGGGGGCGAACGGTGGTATGGTTTCGATTCCCTGCTTGTACATGACAAGGAGTCGAACCTAGTGGGTTTTCTCTGGGTCCTCCCACTAATAAAGGCCCCTATGTTTAAGCGAATTATTGAAATGAAATTGAACCATATATTAGTCCCGAAACTACCTAGTTTGTAACGAGTGGATGTTAAACCCCATTTCTCTCTCTCTTTAACGTCCACTCAACACAAAAGAAGGTAATTTCGGCAGAACATAAAATTTAAAGGCACAACATTTAATTTAATTATATCTTGAGCCTTTAGATATTTATGTTGTGCCTTTAAAAATACAAATTATTTATTGTGCCTCTAAGTATACAAATTATATATTTTTTTAAACATACAAATTATATAAAATTAGAAATTTATGAGTGGCGAGTAGCCGTCATGGATTTCTCTCATGAAGCGACTAGTTTTGTTCATTTTGAACTTATCAAGCTTAAATGAAGTTGTGCGAATGTTCGCTTATATAGTCATCAGGGACTGGAGCTACTGCTCCTGAAGGTCCTAGGGGGGTTGGATGGCCGAATGGTTAGCAGGTGCGCGCTGTATCATACGGCCTGTCATTGAGTCAGTTGGCGTGGTTTCGAATTCCCGGTTGTATGTGACAAGGAGTAGGGTCGCCTATCCAACCTAGTGGGTTTTCTCCAGGTCCTCCGGTTTCCTCCCACTGCTAAAGACCCCAACGCACAAGCGAATTATTGAAATAAAATTAAACCATATGTTATTCCTGAAATGACCTAGTTTGTGTCGAGTGGACGTTAAACCCCATTTCTCTCTCTCTCTCTCTCTCTCTCTCTCTCTCTCTCTCTCTGGAGGGTCCCCACATTCTTTATATTTATACAGATTATATGTTGCGCCTTTAATATATATGTTATATTCCATGATTGTAGATATTTGGTGCTGTTGTAAATTGTCCTCTTAAAATCAGCGATCATTTTTATGGTACTGGAGAATCTTTTCTTTATACATTTTACCCAGAATATAAGGTAAGTTATAATTACCCAGAATATAAGGTAAGTTATAATTACCCAGAATATAAGGTAAGTTATGATAACCCAGAATATAAGATAAGTTATAATTACCCAGAATATAAGGTCAGTTATAATTACTCACAATATAAGGTAGGTTATATTTACCCAGAATATAAGGTAGGTTATAATTACCCAGAATATACGGTAAGTTAGAATTACAAATGACATGTAGACTATATAAATCTTGTACTTAAAAAGTAATTTAATTAAAGTATTCTGCCTTATGACTGAAAGGAATCATTCTTATTTATCAAATCCCTCATCTTCTCCAATGTCAGATTACTTTTTCTTGTACCTTTTTTCATATCCCCAATTTGTATGTGACAAGAAGTAGGATAGCCTGGTTAACCGTTTGTTTTTTTGCACAGGGAGGATGAGGGGGAGGGGGCCTTTTTCTGAAGACCCCTTTGCACAAACAATTGATTGAAATAAAGAGTTATCATGTATTATTCCCTAAATGACCTGTAGTGGATCATGTTAAACTGACTATTTTGTTGAGATTTTAATTTTAATAATACTTTGATATTGTTTGTTTTTTTTTACCAGGTGTTCCATTGGTCAGGAGAGAATAATTTTTTTATTAAAGGAAATCAGGAGAGTTTAGCTATTGGTGCTGGACAGTAAGTTCTATTGATTAACTGTAAAATAACAAACATTTGTAGTGGAATTAGAATTTTAAAACAACAAACATTTGTAGTGGAATTAGAATTATGAAATAACAAACATTTGTAGTGAAATTAGAATTATGAAATAACAAACATTTGTAGTGGAATTAGAATTTTAAAACAACAAACATTTGTAGTGGAATTAGAATTGTGAAATAACAAACATTTGTAGTGAAATTAGAATTATAAAATAACAAATATTTGTAGTGGAAATAGAATTTTAAACCAACAAACATTTGTAGTGGAATTAAAATAACACTTTTGGTTATTATGTCAGGTTGTTGATGACAACACTGGTTTAAACTTCACATAATAATACTTTTATTCTGCTTTAAACATATCATGTACAAAACTTAGGACTCTGTAATTAGCTTGTGTTGAGGGAGCCATGGTCCTAGCTTGGCTTGACACCCGTGGGTGCCAACTCTCAACTAACTTACATGGCCGCTGCCCGGTCTTAACTCAGACGCTCTGGCCTTCTCTCCATAATCTCCTTTTGATTCCTGCTTATAAGCACACTTCTAGACAAAGGATGACCGAATAGATTATGCAGCTGGCTATATTGCATTATAACTCAGGCCAGGGGTAGTAGCTATTAACTTCCACGTGGTCATTGGCCGTGTCAGACCAGTGTCAATGTCAACCATCTGTGGGTCATAATCTGATTAAGAATGTTTTAATCATTTTCATGTGTTAATTGACATTTTTCTACATAATCTCCAGTTATGTAACAGATATATTAGTCCCGAAATTACCTAGTATGTGTCGAGTGGATGTTAAACTCCATTTCTCTCTTTCTCTTGTTTGTATGAAATAGGGGTCGCCTATCCAACCTCGAGGGTTTTCTTAGGGTCCTCTGGTTTCCTCCCACTGCTAAAGACCCTACGCGCAAGCGAATTATTGAAATAAAATTGAACCATGTGTTAGTCCCAAAATGACCTAGTTTGTGTCGAGTGTACGTTAAACACCATTTCTCTTCGAAATTTGTATGAAATAATGTGTTTATTTGTATTAATTAATGTGTTATATTGTTACAGGGGATTATTTGGTTTATGGTTTGATGGTGATTTATACCATGGTAGATCACATAAGTGTGATACATTCGATAATGACATACTTACAGAGGCCGAAGATTTCTGTGTTAAAGGTTTCGAGGCCTGGGCATTTATTTAAGCTGTGAAAAATAAAGGTAAGACATGAAATGAAATGGGGTTTAACGTCCTACTGTTCTGCTCCTATACTGGGCTAATGTAGACGGGCATTCGCCAGACAGTGTGCTATGAGGGAAATTTTGCCTGGGCAGCGACACTATGGCCTACACATATATCAAATTCCAACTGCCAAGGAATCTTTAACATGCACGCTAATGTATACATGGGACTTTGGTTTTTCGTCCCATCCGAACGACTAGACAGCTGTCTTTGTCAGAGCCTCTGTCCTGCACCACTGACAAGGGAAAACCCCGCCAGAAAATCTTGATGAACTTTCTTGGAACACGCAACCTCCAGGCTAGCGAGCCAGCGTCTTACCCACTTAGCCACCATGGCTCCCAATAAAGGTAAGTAGTTCACATACTTGGGAGCAGTGCTTCCTCAGTTTCCACAGTGGTCTCGTTCCGCTCTACTCCACTATACCCTGGGTTAATCCATAGGGTAACCACGATTTCAAATTATCTGCTCTGACATTGATCGTAGTTTTAGTCTAGAAATTAATCTTACTAAAACTCTTTTAGCCTTTTTGTTTACGTTCACAACAATATGGCGGCTTGTTCCAACACGATGAGTGTTACTTCCCTTCACCAACTTCCTTTGCAATTAACGATTTATGGGATTGGTCGATAAAAATAGCACAATCATCAAGGGCAGATAACTTGAATACGTGTTCCTCCCCCCATAGATTAACCCAGAGGTTAGTGGAGTAAAACGAAATGAGACCACAGGAGATAGTGAGGATTGGAGCAGTGGTGAATCAGTGAATAAGATACAATCATCAAGGGCAGATAACTTGAATACATGTCCCCCCCCCCCCCCCTAGATTAACCCAGAGGTTAGTGGAGTAGAACGGAATGAGACCACTGGAGATAGCGAGGATTGGAGCAGTGGTGACTCAGTGAATAAAATACAGTCATTAAGGGCAGATAACTTGAATACATGCCCCCATAGATTAACCCAGAGGTTAATGGAGTAGAGCGGAATGGGACCACTGGAGATAGCGAGGATTGGAGCAGTGGTGACTCAGTGAATAAGATACAATCATCAAGGGCAGATAACTTGAATACATGCCCCCATAGATTAACCCAGAGTTTAGTGGAGTAGAATGGAATGAGACCACTAAAGATAGTGAGGATTAGAGCAGTGATGACTCGGTGAATAAGATACAATCATCAAGGGAAGATAACTTGAATACGTACCCCCCTCCCCCCATAGATTAACCCAGAGTTTAGTGGAGTAGAACGGAATGAGACCACTAAAGATAGTGAAGGTTTGAGCAGAGATGACTCCGTGAATAAGATACTGGTTCACCAACCAGGAGGCCTCGGGTTCACTCGACCTGTATTGGCCGAGAAACTTCCTCTGGAATTGCCAGTGTGGTTCCCCCTGGTCAATGGGGATGAAACGAAAAACCGAGGTCCCGTGTATATATTGAAATGCACGTAAAAGATCCCCTGGCAGTTGAAATTCGATATAAGAGTAGGCGATAGTGCCGCTGCCCGGGCAAAATTTCCCTCATAGCACACTGTATGGCGTATGCCCGTCTTCATTAGCCCAGGTTAGGACCAGAACAGTAGGATGTTAATCCCCATTACATTTCATTTCCACTGGAATTTCCAGTGTGGTTCCCCTCGTCTATGTCTAGTGAGACGAAAAAAACGAGGGTCCATGAACACGTTGACTTGCAGGTAAAACAATCCTTGGCCATTAGAATATTGAACTAAAACTAGGTGGAAGGCAAAATTTCCCTCCTACGAAATGCATGGCGTATGCCCATCTTCAATAACCCTTTGTATGTTACAAAGGAGTAGGGTCGCCTGTCCAACCTCGTTTGTTTTATCCGAGTCCTCCGGTTTCTTCCCACTACTTAAGACCCCTACGCGCAAGCAAATTATTGAAATAAAATTGAACCATATGTTAGTTTTGTAATGACCTAGTTTGTGTCAAGTGGATGTTAAAATATGTCTACAATACCATAACCTCATTCTGCACACAGAGGGGGGGGGGGGGGCGGGTTGGATGGCTGAATGGTTAGCGTGTGTGCGCTGTATCATAAAATCTGTCATTGAGTCGACTGGCGTGGTTTCGAATCCCACGGTTGTAGGTGTCAAGGAGTAGGTCGCCTGTCCAACCTCATGAGTTTTCTCCGGGTCCTCCGGAGAGAAATGGGGTTTAACGTCCACTCGACACAAACTAGGTCATTTCGGGACTAACATATGGTTTAATTTTATTTCAATAATTTGCTTGCGCATAAGGGTCTTTAGCAGTGGGAGGAAACGGGAGGACCCGGAGAAAACCCACGAGGTTGGACAGGCGACCCTACTCCTTGTCACGTACAACCGGGGATTTGAAACCACGCCAGTCGACTCAATGACAGACTTTATGATACAGCGCGCGCACGCTAACCATTCAGCCATCCACACCCCCCCCCCCCCAAAGACTAAATAAACCTATTCAATTCCACTAAATGGAAGCAGAATAAATACTTCTTAAAATTCTCGAACTTTACTTAGTGTTTTCGACTAAAATCGCCGATTGAGGGCTTAAAATGTCGGTCAATTAGCTTAGTGTCTGTTCTTAAGCAGAGCTAACTGTAGACAGGCAGCCTAAGTTTAGTATGCAATAATCTCTCTTTCTTAAAATACCAAAATATTTTTTGTTTTATTTCAGAGATTAACCATATCATATAAATAGAAGAAAACGAGCCAGATTTTACAACTTTCATACATGACTTGAGAGTTATCTTCCCTTGTTGCTAGGGGAGTGTGTTATCTCCCCTTTTTGTTAGGGGGAGTGTGTTTGTGTAAATATGTTAATGATGTTATTGTATGTTTGGAGTTGCAATAAGCGATATATCTAATAGACTATGATGTATATGTGCAATCAGAGACACTATGGAATGTTTGGAATGGAATGTGTCCAAGACTTAAATGGTTGCAGGAATGGAAATATGAAATGAGAAAATTGTTATTACTTTGTTAAATTTGACAGTGCTTACACAAACTGAAGTGCTGGATGTTGGGGGAAAAAATGTTGACCTTTATTCTCTGACAGTTGGGCTTGCTCTTTGTTAGTTTATCGAAATAATACTTGATGACCTCGACTACCTACAGTACTTATCATTATACAGTTTACACTATATTTCACCTTTATATATACTAGTTACTATAGCTACACATGTGTGTAAACATCCACCTTATTTCTAGTTGCTATAGCTACACATGTGTAAACATCCACTGTTTTTCCAGTTTCTATAGTTACCCATGTGTAAACATACACCAGTTTCTAGTTGCTATAGTTACACAAGTGGAAACATCCACCATATTTCTAGTTGCTATAGTTACACATGTGTGAACATCAACCATGTTTCTAGTTGCTATAGTTATACACTATATTAATACATGTTGTCAACATAATATTTTGTGTAGGCTGCACTAAACTAAGATATTATTTTCTACTAGTTTGGGATTTTATGCATTTGTAATGGCCACAGATTAACCAGTTTGGAAAATATCTTAATTCCTGGCATATTTTTATGGTCATGATTCTCGGGACTTCTTTTGCGGCGGCACAAAATTCTAAAGACCATGTGGGACGTTGCCTATCCATCTTAGATATAATCCACTGTCAAATGTTTTACTCTTGTTTACATATTCCTACAGTCAACTAACTACTTTCTCTACTTGTATTATTTTCTTCTTAAAGAAAGAAAAAAGAAGCACATATTGTAATAGGTGTATGACCTAAAGGATAATTGTAATGTAAAACATATTCCATGCTTTTTTGTGATATAAATTATTGGTGTTTTATATCTATTATACATATATATTTATCAACTGTGGTATAATACATATACTAGTATATCTATCATGCTATAATACAAACCAGTATACTGTGGTATACCAGTATATCTACTATGTTATGATACATACTAGTGTATATTTACTGTGGTATATACTGCTATATCTACTGTGGTATAATACGTATACTAGTATATCTACTGTGCTGTAATACATATACTGTGGTATAATATGTACACTGCTATATCTACTGTGGTATAATACATATACTAGTATATCTACTGTACTGTAATACATCTATATCTACTGTGGTATAATACATATACTTGTATATCTACTGTGCTGTAATACATCTATATCTACTGGTGTATAATATATTTCTATGTATAAACTGTTTTGGCATCAAATGTTATATATTATATTATTTATTCACATGACAAACCTATAATCAACTCTCTAGATCATCAGATGGCAGAGATGTAAACAGATTAAAATATGAAAGTCATTTAATGATTGAATTCTTAAAATGAAGAGGCGAGGCTGTGTCGCTATTAACAAGCACATGGCTGCGATAATAAACAATCTAAGTCAAAACTTCAAACAGTGATAGCATCGCTCTAAATAAAGTAATTTGAATTAGTTTTACAATATATTACCAGGTATTTTACATTATCTATTTTGGAACTATTATGGCAAGAACCGTTAGCTCTTTATCTAAATCTTACAGAATTCCACTTTAAGGCTAATAAATAGTTTTGGTTACTAAATGATTAATTACTATAAAGTCTACTCAATATTACATGAAAATGAAATAAAATGGGGTTTAAAGTTACAATTTCATATTTTCTAAGAAAGTCAAAACATAATTATTTCTATGTCTTTTGCTCAATAGGTTGTCAACTCACTATTATCCGATCATAGGTGTCATTCTCACACTTTAAACTCATTTACACCGGAAATAATAACACAATTACCTCCCAACTACCTCCCTTGTTTTCTATTCTCCACCCTGGAGTAGTTATCTTCAAACGTTGGAATTTGAAGATGAAAATGATATTTTTGCCAATTTCTCAACTGGCAATAGTGAATTATAGGATTAATAGGATTATTCTTTAAAAAGGTAGGACTGTTTATAGATACCATCTATTTTAAGGCTTTATTTTAATAAATTGTAAAAATGTAACTTAAAAATATGAAATTGCAACTTTAACGTCCTAATGTGAGAGAAATTTTGCCCAGACAGCGGCACTACCGCAGCTTCTTATATTGAATTCCAACTGCCAAGGGATCTTTTACGTGCATGCCGATATGTACACGGGACCTCAGTTTTTTGTCCCATCCGAACGACTAGACAGCTGTCTTGTCAGGCCATCCGTCGTGCACTACTGACAAGGGGAAACCACATTGGAAAATCTCGAAGGAAGTCAGTTTATGAGACAAGTATATTATACTAATTTGGGGGTGGATGGCCGAATGGTTAGCGTGTGCGCTTTGCATCATAAGGTCTGTCCTTGAGTCAACTGGCAGGGTTTCGATTCCCTGGGTGTACGTGGCAAGAAGTAAGGTCGCCTGTCCAACCTCGTAGGTTTTCCTTGGGTTTCCTTCCACTGCTAAAGACCCCTACACTCAAGTGAGTTGTTGAAATAAAATTTAACCATGTGTTAGTCCCGAAATGATCTAGTTTGTGTTGAGTGGACGTTAAATAATAATAATAATTGATTTATATAGTGCCAACAATTCAACTCAGCGAGCTGCTCTCGGGCGCTTTACATAAGTACAACTAATATAAAATTACAACAATCACAACACATTAATCCATAAAAAAAGACATCAACAAAAAACCGGAGAACATTATTTAGTACACATGGTAAAAGTCTGACACAAACACAGCTAGAACCATATTCTATCAGTTGTATATTTGATTAAAAAGTTCAGTTTTGAGATACTTTTTGAAACCTTTAATAGAATTTGCGCTTTTGGTTTCGTTTGATATTGAATTCCAAAACTTCGGAGCACAGACTGCGAAGATCTATGATCTATCGCCGGAGTTGGTTTTTGAAAAAGGATTAATTAAGAGGTTGTTTGATTGTGATCGAGGGGTTCTGCAAGGTTTATTGGTGTTGAGAAGGTCTCTAAGGTATTGAGGTGAAGAATCGTATTTAGAGCAGAATGCGTAATAGACAGTATTTTAAAATTTACAGAGCAATAAGTGGTTATAGGGTACTCATGAATTTATTTCATTGTTAAGCATTTTCATGAAACACCAATAGTTTATTAAGGATTTCATTGTATGGAATGCTATCGCCTAGCCCCGAGTTCACAAAGCATTCTCAGACTTAAGTTAAGAATTTACTCAAAATTGTTCGCCTTATTTTAACTAAAATATAACCCTTTATAAAACTATTGTTGTTTTAATGTATCAAATACATCAATAAGAAACTATGTGCAAAGTTTTGTGTTTCTGGATCAACGATATTTCTCATAAACAGTGATTCAAAGTTGAGTAAATTCTTAACTTAAGTCTGAGAATGCTTTGTGAACTTGAAGCCTGGTTTCTGGGGTAAAAAAATAAAAATTTTGATCAGAGTTTGATGTGTTGATTTGTTTTGTGGAGTAGATGCCTTTGTTTAAAACCAAAGTTTATTTATATATCTTAGTTTCTCTTCCACGGTCTGTCCTTGAGTCAAGTGGTGTAGTTCCGATTCCCCGCTTGAACGTGACAAGGGATAGGGTCGTCTGTCCAACGTCGTGAGTTTCCCCCCCCCCCCCCGTTTCCTCCCACTGCTAAAGACCCTTATGCACAAGCGAATTATTGAAATGTTAGTCCAGAAATTACCTAGTTTGTGTCAAGTGGATCTCTCTCTCACTCTCCCTCTCCAAGGGTTGAAACTAAACCAAAATGAGTAATCATACCCACTTAGAATTTAAACAGATTACATTTTGTCCAATTGTTACTGGTACTCCAATTGTTAGGGTACTCCAGTATACTCCAATTGTTACTGGTATTCCAATTGTTATTGTACTCCAACAGTTACTGGTACTCCAGTATACCCCAATTGTTACTGGTACTCCAATTGTTACTGATACTCCAATTAACAAAACATATCAACAACTGTGGTCAACATTTTATTTGGATCTATATTAATTTGGTTTAGATCATTTAATAATGTGTGTGAAATGACATACTGTAGACTGTATATTGTTTATATGTGTATGATATGATATACTGTAGACTGTATATTGTTTATATGTGTATGAAATGATATACGGTAGACTGTATATTGTTTATATGTGTATATAATATATAATCTAGATAAAACTATATAATGATGTAATTATAAACTGCTTCCAATTACAATGCTCTGATGTAATTATAGACTGTTTCCAATTACAATGCTCTGATGTAATTATACACTGTTTCCTATTACAATGCTCCCTTTCCAATATAGACTGCATCCAATTATAGACTGTTTCCAGTAAAAATGGTATGATGTAATTATAGACTGTTTCCAGTAAAAATGCTATGATGTAATTATAGACTGTTTCCAGTAAAAATGCTATGATGTAATTATAGACTGTTTCCATTAACAATGCTCTGTTTCCAATAACAATGCTCGGAAGTAATTATAGTTTGTTTCCAGTAATAATGCCCTGTTTCCAATAACAATGCTCGGAAGTAATTATAGTTTGTTTCCAGTAATAATGCCCTGTTTCCAATAACAATGCTCGGAAGTAATTATAGTTTGTTTCCAGTAATAATGCCCTGTTTCCAATAACAATGCTCGGAAGTAATTACAGACTGTTTTCAATAACAATGATATTTAATTACAGACTGTTTCCAATAACTAGGGGCGCCAGTCCAACCTTGTGGGTTTTCTCCGGGTCTTCCGGTTTCCTCCCGCTGCTAAAGGCCCCTACGCGCAAGCAAATTTTTTAAAATAAAATTGAACCATATGTTAGTCCCAAAATGACCTTATTTGTGTCGAGTGGACGTTAAACCCCATTTCTCTTTCTCCCTGTTTCCAGTATGCTGTGATGTAATTATTAACTGTTTACATTAGGATGCCCTGATATAATTATAGACCGTTTTCAATAACAATAATACCCTGTTTATAGACTGTTTCTCATAACATTGCTCTAATATAATTCTGCACCTTTTCCTTTCATGTCTGTTTATGAAATAATACAATGATGAACTTAATGTCTGATTCCATTAACCATATGATACTATGATGCAATTATAGACTGTTTCCCTTTAATGTATGAAATATATAAATTTATATATATATTATCAAGAATTATTATGTATATTAGTATGAAGAAATCACTGTAACCCAGGTATCATTTAATCTTGTGTATCTAGCCCTTATTTCTTTCACATTCGTTTAATAGCAAATCTTTGTGTAAAAATTATTTAAAATCACCAAAAATCTTCTAATTTGTACTTGTGTCCAGTTTAAAAGTGACTGATTAATAAGTGTTCAGTTTACAAGTATTTAATTTCGTGACAATAGTTAAAAAATTAATCATTATTAATCATCGGTTGTTTATTTTTTAACAGTGATCAAGAAATTAAACGCTTGTAAATTGGACACTCATTATCAAAACTGAATGGTCAGCTTTAAACTGGACACAAGAAGAAATTAGATGATTTTTGGTGATTTTAAATGATTTTTAAAAAATTTTAAACAAAGATTTGATATTAAACGAATGTTAAAGAAATTAATGCTAGATACACAAGATAATATGATACTCAGATTACAGTGAATGCAGTGTAACGCTTTATAGTGCCAAAATACAACAATACGCATTTGCAATGGCTGCAAATGCACAAAAATATGGGAGGTAGATAAATGTCTAATTTGTACTTGTGTCCAGTTTAAAAGTGACTGATTAATAAGTGTTCAGTTTACAAGTATTTAATTTCGTGACCATAGTTCAAAAATTAATCATTATTAATCATCGGTTGTTTATTTTTTAACAGTGATCAAGAAATTAAACGCTTGTAAATTGGACACTCATTATCAAAACTGAATGGTCAGCTTTAAACTGGACACAAGAAGAAATTAGATGATTTTTGGTGATTTTAAATGATTTTTAAAAAATTTTAAACAAAGATTTGATATTAAACGAATGTTAAAGAAATTAATGCTAGATACACAAGATAATATGATACTCAGATTACAGTGAATGCAGTGTAACGCTTTATAGTGCCAAAATACAACAATACGCATTTGCAATGGCTGCAAATGCACAAAAATATGGGAGGTAGATAAATGTCAAATTATGTTCGCTATCAATAAGCTTAAACGTAGCCGGAAAAGCTTCAAATGTTTTTAAATAATGCAAGTAATTATTTGAACGAATGTCAATATTACCTGCAACAGGTAAATTTCAACGTTAGTAATTTCCGCCGTTCTCCATGAGTAATCGTAACTTTCCGTCATTTTAGTCTTTCTGCTCATATTCTAGTCTATATTTCTATGATCAGAAGGTTTGAAATTACGTCACGGATTGTTTATTGACGGAAAGTTACGACTAAATACTAACGTTGAAATTTACCTGTAGCAGGTAATATTGACATTCGGGTTTGTGTTATACTTATGGAAAGGATATGTTGACATAATTACTTGCATTATTAACAAAAATTATGAAGGCATCTGATATTGTCGGTTCAATAGATTTTAGGGGTTTATTTTGCTCTTGGTAAAACAGTTAAGATAGAAACTTTGCAATGTTGTCTCATTTTACTTTGTCTTTATTCATGTCTAGGAGTCCACCAATCATGACAGAACTAGTTTAATAATATACTAGACTTGTATGGAAGACAACCTCTGCCAATATCACTGAAAGTTAATATCACCACTTAGTTACTGTATGGAAGACAACCTCTGCCTATATCACTGAAGGATGAAATTTAAACTCAGTGATTAGTTACAGTTGGTTAAATCTTTGATATTATAAAGATCTCCCCCATTACAATACATCCAACATGTAGTCAAATATTGGCAAAGGTAATGATGCTATAATTATCTGGATGTTTGGCAGATACCTTTGTCCATATTATTATGATGTTATATTGACCAAGGTTGTTGTCCATATTATTATAATCTTGTAATATAGAGAGGGATTTATGGCCGAGATTTCTGTCCATGTTACTATAGTGATGTTATAGAGAATGATTTATGGCCGAGATTTCAATCCATATTATTATAATCTTGTAATATAGAGAGGGACTTATGACAGGAATTTCTGTCCATTTCACTATAGTAATATTATAGAGAATGATTTATGGCTGAGATTTCAATCCATATTATTATAATTTTGTAATATAGAGAGGGGCTTTCTGTCCATATTATTATAGTATTGTCACCTAGAGAAGGATTTATGGTAGAGATTTCAGTCCATATTATTATTTGTATGTATATATCTATATATATATATATATATCACCAGTCACTATAACAACAAGCTGTACTTACTATTAATATAATCACCATCTATAATTAGTTGTTACAAATAAAATATAAATCATATCACGGTCTTCATGTTATCCATTATCCCTTGATAAAATACAGATGTGACGTCACCATTATTTTAAATAATCGTACAGGCAACTTGCCAATCGTACAATATTTATACTAGTGAAATATTGGAGTCGCGTGACGTATTGCACTGTAAAAGCACATGCGGAGTGTCTGTATTTTAAGTCGTTTAATGGTCTCGAGCTTAAGACATTGGTTATATATTGTAAAAACACTCGGGCCTCACGGTCCTCTTGTTGTTACAATATATTACTTAATGTCTCGCTCTCGACCATTAAACAGTACATAAATGAAATGATAAGAGTAGAAAAGCGCAAAAATCCACGCAAGATTTCTCTCATAGTACACTGTATGGCGTATGCCCGTCTTCATTAGCCCAGTTCAGAGCAGAACAGTAGGACGTTAAACCTCATTTCATTTCATTTCCAATTATATGCAATACGTTTGAGTAAATGGGTGTTCGAATGAAACAGTTACCTAAATATGGCAATGGCCCGCCTTAATAGAGCCCTAATAGTTGACGTATCTAAATGTATTATATAAATTAAAGAGCGCAATTAAATTTGCTTCAGAAATCATGCGGGGTTCTTAGAAGGATGTGGGTTTTCTCCGGGTCCTCCGGTTTCCTCCCACTGCTACAGACCCCTACGCGCAAGCGATTTATTGAAATAAAATTAAACTATATGTTAGTCCCGAAATGACCTAGTTTGTGTCGAGTGGATGTCCCCACAGCCTTTGGCTCGGGGCTGAGATGAGACATCATGTAGATAGATTTATCAAGAAACGTAGGCTCTCGACACCTTTAGGACACTAAGTTATATTTGTACATCATTACGTGTTCCTTGGGGGGACATGCAGTGTTCTTAGACACACCTTTAGCCGCCGGCTTCGGTTTAGGGGGTGGGGGGGGCATGTAGACTTAGAAAATAAGCGTAATGCCACAGAACACACGCTAAGTGATGGTAACTTATATTTAGCTTATATTTAATGTCATAGCTGTGTGTATAGTTTCCTATATATAACCTTTGTAGCCTATAAAGTTATATAAATATAGTTATAACCACAAAGTGTTCCGGAGTTAATTGATCATTGAATAAAAAAAATACACAGCGTGGAAGTCCTGATTGGATAGGGTCACAATCCAGTTTTTGTAGATCCGTGATGCAGGACAGAGGACCTGGCAAGGCGAAAAGTATCTATACATTGTGATTGACAAGCATAAGAGGATACTTGTCGAGAATAAAACCAGTGATTAATTGCCATAAAACTTGTGTCCTTTTAATTCAAATAAACCATGGATGGAAGTATTGACCTGAGATGATGTTGGCTAAAAGTATGGGCCGAGCCACCCTACCTGCAGAGCTAGCTACCGTTTAAGTTTCGTACGTTATTTACGTACGCGTTATAAGGCATGAAAACTAGATAAGCGTGACGTGATAGCTAAGGAGAAACGTGAGTACAAGTTTCATTTTATAAAATTAACTATGAATGCTCTGTTCGATAACGTATCCAGGGACGCATGTGTTGCTAGGGTAATTCATCCGTGGCAGCGTCAAACTTGGCTAAATCTGTCAGATATTTCAAATTTAAATCATTCTCTAATTTCCGGAAATATAAATCTGGTGCCTGAAGTGAATAAAAACACGTGGTTATAATAAAACACGTGGTTATAATAAAACAGGTGATTATAATAAAACAGGTGATTATAATAAAACATGTGGTTATAATAAAACATGGGGTGGTTATAATAATACACGTGGTTATAATAAAACACTGTAATAAATCACGTTATTATAATAAAACACGTGGTTATAATAAAACACGTGGGTGGAAAAAACACGTGGGTAGAATTAAAACACGTGGGTGTAATATAAACAGATGGGTATACTAAAAACACGTAGGAATAATGAAACACATGGTTATGATAAAAAAAATACGTGGTTATGATAAAAACACGTGCATATGATAAAAACACATGGGTATAATAAAACCCGTGGTTATGATAAAACCCGTGGTTATGATAAAAACACGTGGTTATGATAAAAACACGTGGTTATGATAAAAACACATGGGTATAATAAAACACGTGGTTATGATAAAACATGGGGTTATAATAAAAACACGTGGGTATATGTGCCGCTTTAAAGCGATAATTTCATAATTTAAGTTATATTTTTAAAATCTATTAAAATAAAGCCTTAAAATAGATGGTATCTATAACAGTCCCACCCTGTTAAAGAATAATCCTATAATTCACTATTGCAAGTTGAGAAATTGGCAAAAATATCATTTTCAACTTCAAATTCAAACGTTTGATGATAGCTATTCCATGGGGGGAGGGAGGGAGGGGGAATAAAATAACAAGGGAGGTAATTGTGTTATTATTTCCGGGGACAATGATTTTAAAGTGTGAGAATGATACCTATGATCGTATAATAGTGAGTTGACAACGTAGTGAGCAAAAGACATAGAAATAATTATGTTTTGACTTTCTTAGAAAATATGAAATTCTCGCTTTAAGGACATTAATAATTGAACAGGTGGTTGGAATACAAATGGCAGGACATGCTTACGCCTAATTCGCCAAGACGCTCACAATTAAAGTAACGCTAAGCTAGCTGATTATTACAACCATACGATTGTCATTTTACGACCATTTTACGACCATTTTGACGACGAGAAAATGTTAGGAGGCGATGCCGATGGCGGCAGTGACGACGCGAAAATATTAACAGACGATGCCGATGGCGGCAGTGACAACGAGAAAATGCTGATGTCGGCAGTGGCGATGAAGAATAAGTCTCGAACCAGCCTTCAGTGAGTACAGTGCAATAGGAAACATTAATAGCATGATCGGACCTGCGATCTTCGTTTGCATGGATTTTAAAAATAGGAATTTGTTACTGATCGTCTGAGTGAATCAAGTTGATCCTTTTTAAAGATACATTATGTAAGATTTAGATAAAGAGCTGACAGGTCTTGCTATAATAGTTTAAAAAAAGTTAACATCCATTTAAATCACGGCCATCCAATGATCTAGAAAATGAAATGAAATGGGGTTTAACGTCCTACTGTTCTGCTCCTAACCTGGGCTAATGAAGACGGGCATATAGTATGCTATGAGGGAAATATGCCCGGGCAGCGGAGAGATAGAAAGAGAGAAATGGGGTTTAACGTCCACTCGAAAAAAAACTAGGTCATTTCGGGACTAACATTATGGTTCAATTTCATTTCAATAATTCACTTGCGCGTAGGGGTCTTTAGCAGTGGGAGGAAACCGGAGAAAACCCACGAGGCTGGACAGACGACCCTACTCCTTGTCACGTACAACCGGAGAATCCAAACCAAACCAGTTGACTCAATGACAGACCTTATGATACAGCGCGCACGCGTTAACCATTCGGCCATATACACCCCCTCCACCCCCACCCCGGACAGCGGCGCCATGTCCTACTCTCATATCGAATTATTAACTGCCAATACTTCCTTTACATCCACGCCGATGTACCTCAGATTTACGTCCCATCCGAACCACTATCGAATGGAATGAAAAACCCAGGACCCGTGAAGACAAAAAAGAAGCATTGCCAGTTTTATTGAAGAATATAAGAGTAGACTGTAGTACTTTGACTGACGTGTACGCATTCTTTGTCCAGTCGGTGCAGAAAAGTAGGACGTTAAACCCATTCATTTTGTAAAGCTTATTCGCTTAGGAGGGACTTATGGAAGAATAGTTATTTTGCAAACTAAATAATTTGCCTCATTAAATAAAGTTTTTATTATTATTATTATTATTCAAACCGAAATCGAGGAATACCGATTGAATTTAAACAAGTCGTTAGTGCAATCGGACAACAATTGAACATCTTTGTTAATCATAAGGGATCTTTAAAGCCTATTGGTGCATATAAATCGTCTATTATTATACAGTCTAATACACGTGTATTATAATAAAATACAAGGCTATACATTGTACAGGTTTATTCATCTTGCTTGATAGGACGGAGGGCCTGACAAGGACAGCTGTCTAGTCGTTCGAATTGGACGAAAAACCGAGGTCCCGTGTACACATTGGCATGCCGTAAAAGGTCCCTTAACTGTTGGAATTCGATATAAGAGTAGGCCATAGTGCCGCTGTCTGGGCAAAATTATGCCCGCCTTCATTAACCCAGTTGGAGCAGAACAGTAGGACGTTAAACCCCATTTCATTTCATTTCTTATTGCTTAGTGTGGAGAAGTGGGATGTACGATGTTTCGGCCTTCAACGCAGAAGCGGATCCAAAGGAGGGAGGGGGGGCACCCTGCTCAGCTACAAAATAAAAATTGTAAAACAACACGTTTTATAAGAAAAGTGTCACGGTCGTGTGCTTTATCCTTTATCATCAGATGGTGGGATGGGATAGGTATTCAGAGCACGAGATAATGATATAGACATATGTGATATCATAATTAATGCTTTGCATCAATGAAATTGAATCACAATGTGATCGTATTAATTCATAATAAAAATTGACATCAAACAGGGTGTTGGATTTCTCTCATTGAAAAGCTCAGTGTGTATGCATTCCTACGTAATTTAGAGACGATTATGGCATCATGTATTGTCAACTGTCAAATCTCCTTAATAGGAGCCTGGCAAACCCCCTCCTGCAAACATTCCTGGATCCGTCCCTGCAACGCTGCGGATCGACTACATAATTTTAAACGCTGATTTGAATCTAAACCCGTCCTTGACCGGTAAGTGATTCTGTCTAAATGTACGTCATTAAAGATACATTAGGTAAGAGATGAATATGTCTATAGCAGATGTTTTTTTCTGGCTTCAAAATATTATTTGGATTTTTATTAACATGGCAAGCCTCTCCTCAACTCTCTATTCCACCGGATGACTAAGCCCATACTCAACTTTCTATCCCGCTGGGTGGTTAATGGCTAAGACATTGAGTGGATTAAACAAAACTTCAAACATTCGTAACTTTGCTCAGAATAAA